TTCCCTTCCTCTCTCTCTCTCTCTCTCTCTCTCTCTCTCTCTCTCTCTCTAAATTTAACCGCACATTGCGGTGATGTCGCGGCCAGTTTACAGTGACCACGTGGTGGACCGCGGAACTTGAAACGGAGGGGCAATCTCTAGCGCGATTCCTTTTGGCGCGACTCAGTGTGACTGGCGATGTAGAAGATCAGTGCAAAACAGTACCCGTCACTGATTACTCGTATCACCTGAACGTCACAGAAAACACCGGATTTTATTCGCGATTCGTGACAATGTCATCTCGCGCCCCTAGTTGTTCCTCAGATTACCGATAGTCTTGAATAAGAATTTATCCTCTTGCTCTTTTTTTAAAAATGACTCTAAATCCGTGCTTGAGCTTTGCAAATCAAGAGTTCACAATCCACCAATTAAGTCGATTCGCTCATCATCTTTCAGACGATTCAATCCACCTCTTCGGCGATCGATATTTTATTCATTAAATTATTATTTTCGGAATATCCGTTTCGCAAGTTTAAATGTGATTCGTATTATTTGATTCTGATGATCTTGGTGTCACAAAACTTTGCCGTTCATTATCTCATTTTCTCGAGAGGGTTAGTTTTTGTTATATCAACACGAATTCGATCGGACTCGCGGGAGGACACGCCGAATCGTATCGCAAACAGAATGTCGCGGACGACTGAGCCAGTCGAAGCGGCCGGCGGCCTAAGAGATCGCAGAAGGCATCGCGCATGCGTTCGCCCCTCACTACCGCCACCGGCCGTGGTATCCCGCTTCTTCGTCCTTCGCCTTTACCTCCGCAAGAAACCGCGCATGGAGTTTTACCCGGACCCCGCAATGATGCACCGTGAAACAATAGGCATCGGCATGGGAAGAGGGAGTGAGACAAGTCCCGCGGACGCAATGGGCCGCATCTCCGCCGGATGTATTTCGAGGGTGTACGTAATGTACCCCCCAAGAGCAGCGCTGCCATCCGGTCGTCGGATCGAAAAAAGTGAACTAATGACGGCTTTTCGACGGAAAGAGTGATAAGAAAATAATCTTTCAGGCATCAAAATAGTATAACCAAAAATGATTTTCTCATATTTAGAATAATTATTTAGAATAAAACCACTTATGTTTTATAAATCACTTAAGCAAGAAAAGATGACATTTTCTCTTATTTTCCTGGATCTATCTTTAGGTAGATTAACATATAATATTTTTTTCATAGCATGGTTTAAAAATTTATAGTAAGGAAAAAACAAGAACTTGAATGATGCCATATAAATTAGTGAGCAACAGTGCTCGAATAGCAATTATTATTATATGAGGTAACAAAAATATGAATAGAACGCTTATATTTTATAAATTTCATATCAGCTGGGAAAGAAAGGTAACTATAGTGATCTATTTTGGATGAAAATAATTTTTATTGACTTGCCAAAGAAAAGATGACAAAAAGTGACTTTAAATACAGCACTGCAAGAGTCATTTCCGATTATTCGAGAAAACTTCCTTTTTGGTAATGGAATATAATAGAATAATGGAAAACTTCGGTGGTTTGAAAATAAATTTTTCCGGAAGTAATTTTACTTGTTATATGAAACGAATAAGATTTATCATCAGAATTTAACATCAAGATACGATTGCCAAGAATGAAAATGATGTTTAGCCTTGTCACACTCTGCCGAGTGATAGTTGGAGAACTGTGAACACAGGTGTGGTCACGCATCGGAATATAAATGGAATGTATAAATAGCGTAAAAGCTAACCGATATTTCGATCGAAGTATTTATCCATCGATATTTTTCGAATGTAGGGATCGTTGCGTTTTGATAGTGACATACTCATTTTATGTTGCGTTATTCAGAAAATTGAAAAAAATCGGTGCAGATCGATATGTCGAGACTTCGTGGTCCTTGGTGTCACGCGTGTGTCGAAACCGGTTTTCAATTTATTTCGAATAGACATGATATTATCCGCATTAGACTCTCGTGGAGATTGCTTCTTGTCCGCGATAAAAGGCATTAAATTGATTTAATATCGAATAAAGCCCGTAGTACGCGTGTCGTTCCGTCTGAATGTATCTTAATCGCAAACGATTATAAAGTGGATTTAGATAAGGATGATATTTATCCTCTACTAGATCCTTAATTATGAAATAGAAAAATTATTCGACATTCTTAAGAATTCTTTAATTAAATTATGATAATGTTAAGTATGTACATTGCAGCAGCTATATAGCAAATTAAAATTTTTTAATATTTATTTTGCACGTAAAAATGTACAGTTTATTTATATAAATCGCATATTAACAAATTAGAGAAATATAATAATATTTGTACGAACATCGGGGAATTGTAATAAATGTTTCAAGGAAGAAATTGCAAATTAGATGGAAGCAAAAATATCTCTGAGAGATATATGGACGAGTTTAGAGTTAATGGATAGTCGATGTTAAATGTGCGTTATCGGACTGTCATCCATCTTGCTTTTGCGCAAATGTCATTTTGTTGCGAGCGATTATCCAACAGTCGCCAATGCTTTTAGCCGAAGGATGTATCGGGGCAGCTAAGGGGAAACATTTGAATTTTAATCCCTCGCGGGAAATCTTCTTTCTCCGATCTTCTTCGTCGCGTTCACGACATGTATAATGCACGGAACGTAAGTTTCTGTCGCGTCTCTCGATTTTACGATCGTCCGGATCGAACGACAGTCGACCGGCTGGCCTTTTCGCCGATCGTCCCATTCACTTTCGCGCCGCCATTCAGAGATGGGATTCGGAGTAGAACGACAGCGCCGCGAAATCCGAATCGAAAAGAGAGAAAGAGAGGCATCGATGAAAAAGTAGGGGAGGGGAAATTTTGCCGAGATATACCGAGGGGAGAGGGGGATCGAGGAGGAAGCCGCGAGGGAGAATGCGAGAAGGAGGAAGATACCGATCGTTGATGCCGATCTTGCAACCGGTACAACAAGGACTGGTTTTTCGTCGCGCACGGAGGTCGGCAGGTGCTTTTTGTCGTCCCTTTAAGCCGGCCGCGATGATAAATAAATACAAGACAGGCCCTCCTCGCGGCTGTCACGCCGTGCTCCTGTTCTCGATCCGATCGATCGATCTGTAACGCGCGATCTGTCGCGAAGAAATGTCGCCGGGCACCACGCCAACCGGACCTTTACCGATACGCCAGGAAGCTGGAAAAGGTGAAACGATCGCGGTTCCCTCATCGCGAATCATTTTTGAAGATTCGCGTCGATTCTCCGTCATCAGGAAATAGAGTCACCTAGCCGATTGTAGCGCACGTCTGTTTAACAATCCACACATTTTATCGACTTGCCGCATGAGAGATCGGTGAAAGCACGTAAAATCAAGTCTTTTAATTTTCCTTCTTGCGAAAAGGAGGAGAATTCCATATTACACGATCATTACAGCGTGTTAACGAAAATTGGAATTTGCATTTTACACGCATTATCTTACGAAACGTCGGATGCGCGAAGATAACGAAATTGCCGTTACGTCATACGATCATTAAAATATTTCACGTCAGATTCGTTTTCCTAAATGTCGGGAGAGCGTGTGTAACGATGCGTCGGTCGCGGTGCAGAGGCGGAAAAATTGATTTTACAACGCGACGTTTATCGGTCACGGCGCGACGTAGCCCGACGGTGGATTTCTATTAATTATTTCACTTTCACGGCCCGTCGACGCTCGTCCGCGTTAATTTGTACATCCATTTGCCGGGACTCGCGAGGGGTGAACAAACGGGCGCTCGTTAACGCCGACTCGTTAAAATGCCGATTAAATCGCATCCGTCCGACGGAATTCGCGCGCCGCACGTGGAACGCGTGTAATCGCACGCCGTGCAGATTAACGGGGTGAGAGGTCCGACTGGTTAAATAAATTGCGTGGGGAGCGTAAGCTTTTTTTTTTTAAGAATCTCTCACACATGTGCCATATTTCGGAGTCGCGGATCTTATTTACCGCGGCCGATGAGATGAAAGTCACGCTTGATCATAAAGCGTAACGAGGCAATTTATTCTTCCTGTTATTTTTTCATCGCCGACAGGCCTAAACGTGAAATATTTCCACGTTACACACGATCGGACAATAATGTCCGTATGCGTTTGCGAATACTTCGTTCCGCATACGAGGACGGTATACGAGGACTCGCGCGATCGTACAGATAAAGAACGTCCGTAAGGAACACGCGTGATCGCGTGGAGTCTCATTAAGATTTTCCTGAACACGAAACGAGATTAGTCACGCAGATTAGAGCGAGCCTTTCGTGCTACGAGAGACAGACGCGAGATACCGATTTGCTCTACTTACAAGACGTAGCGCGGACCCGCTTCGAACGCACGTATAGTTTTTCATAAGTCACCGACTTAAAGATCCGTGACGCCTGTCGTTCACGTCAACGTTATCTCGCTCGTCCAATTGATTTCTCATGCACGAATATTTTTTAATTTTTTTTTTTTTATATAGTTGGTATTCGTGATTAAAGGGAAAATCGAGGATTATTTAAAAATGAAATATGATTGATAATCGATTAATCGTGAAAATTTAATACGTCGGTTTTTTAATCTTTTTCAGATCAAGGTATTGCGTCTTATAAAAATCGCACGCGAAAAGATGAAACGAACGTAGATTGAAATCTACGTTCTTTCGACCAAAAGAATGATTATTCATCCATCCAGAAGTCTTATCTTTTGTAAGTCACAGATGTTCGTACTTCATAATATAGTTAGACTACTATAATATCATAATGTCATGTATGTTGAATACTTTCCTCGATTTTGTAAGATCAACCATTAATTTTCCATCCGATTATTTGAACATGGACGTTCCATCTGTTAGCATGAATGGAATAATTCATAACGTCATGAAATATAATCGCGCGTGAAAAATGTAAAACATGTGGCAAACACTTTTAGCGTAAAAAAACTGATCGCCTCGACACGTCGGTATTGTGAATTTACAAGCGAAAGATAACTACGCGTGATTTCTCTGTCAGCATATTGCACGATTTACGTACGCTTTCCGATTCGCGTTTTAGACCAAGTTCACCCGGGTTATCGCCGAAGATTATGCTTTTGGGTCACTTTACCATTTCGAGAAATCTCACTTTCTGTCTGCGATAGTCAATTGAATTTATATCTTTCTCCTATTATATGTAAGATGCGGTGGCAAGCTGTCCTCTTTTTTTTTATTCATACAACACGTAATACGTTCAAATTTCGATGCTCGTAAAAGCGAACATTGAAAACGGATTGCCGCACGAGCATCCCGAATAGATTCACCATAAGTACCCTCGACTTTCTTCGTTACAGAAATAAATCACGTTCAACACGCTAAAAGCAGTTGGATGGCAGAGGGATAGGAGAGACTGGGTTTGAAATATTCACATCTCTCTCTCTCTCTC